TGCTGCAGCACAGCCACACTGCCCCAGGATCACTGAGGGACAGGAAGGGCGAGGGGGGACATGAAGGTGTCACCAAGGGGGGACATGTCACCCTGTCCCAGGATCATTCAGAACCAGGAAAGGATGGAGATGCAGGTGCCCAATTCTGGCGTCACCAAGGAGGGGTGGACACGTCACTCTGTCCCAGGATCATTTAGAGCCAGGGAGGATCGAGATAAGGGTGTCACCAAGGGTGAGGATGGAGATGAAAGTGTCACTAAGGGGGACGTGCCACCCTTTCCCAGGATCATTTAGAGCCAGGAAGGGTGAGGATGGAGATGCAGGTGCCCAACCCAGGTGTCACCAAGGGAGGGGTGACATGTCACCTTGTCTCAGGATCATTTAGGGTCAGGAAGGGCAAGGATGGGGATTAGGATGTCACCAAGGGGTGATATGCCACCCTTTCCCAGGACCATTTAGGACCAGGAAAGGATGGAGATGAAGTTGCCCAACGCTGGTGTCACCAAGAAGGGGGAGGACATCCCACCCTCTCCCAGGATCACTGAGGGCCAGGAAGGAGGAGAATGGAGGTGAAGACATGAAGACATCCCCAAGGGGGACATCCCACCCTTTCCCAGGACCATTTAGAACCAGCAAGGGTGAGGATGGAGATGAAGATGTCACCAAGGGGGACATCCCACCCTATCCCAGGATCCTTTAGAACCAGGAAGGGTGGGGATGGCGGTGAAGGGGCCCAACCCTGACGTCACCAAGGACATCCCACCCTGTCCCGGGATCAGTCAGAGCCAGGAATGGCGAGGCTGGAGCCGAGGCCAGAGGCCATCCTGGAGTCATCCCGGAGTCATCCTGGAGTCATCCCGTACCGTGCTGTTCTGGAGCAGGCGGATGATGTGTTCGAAGCAGTTGTTGCTCAGGAAGGTGGCCTGGAGCACTGGCCGGTCCTCGCAGCTCAGCATGGCCGGGATGGCGTCTGTGAGGAGGGGAGCACGGATCAGCCCCGGCCACATCCCACATCCCACATCCCAAACCCCATCCCAAACCACCCACCTACCCAGCATGAGCACCCGCAAGCCAATGGGGACCATGGATCAGCCCCATCCCACATCCCACACCCCATCCTAAACTGTCTACCCAGCATGAGCACCCACAGGCTGATGGGGAGCACAGATCAGCCCTGGCCACATCTCACATCCCATATCCCAAACCCCATCCCAAACCACCTGCCCAGCATGAGCACCCGCAGGCTGATGGGGAGCACGGATCAGCCCCATCCTACATCCCACATCCCATATCCCAAACCCCATCCCAAACCACCTACCCAGTATGAGCACCCGCAGGCCAATGGGGACCACGGATCAGCCCCACCCACATCCCACACCCCACATCCCAAA